CGGGCAGCTGCCCTAATCGGTCGGGCTGCCATATATATAGCGGAACGGGCAGAAATCTCCCTCCCAATTCCACGAGGGTTTTTGATTGGGAAGGGTTTCTCTGTTTTCTTATTTTGACGTCGATTGATTCCTTCTCTGGCGGAAGACTTTACATTTTTGGCTGCGGATTCGTTGGTATAAAGCTTGTTGCAATCTTATTTTGCTTAGATTCGTGTCTAATGTGCGGATGATTTTAGATATGGTTGGATTTTGATCTGATTTTGCGTGTGTCGGAGTTAGTTTGGTTGGATTGTGGAATCTAGGGTTCGAATTTCTTCCATTTTTTTGGCTCTCCACCTGTTTGTTGAAGCGGAATTCTGGTTCGGATGGTTGTTGGTTAGATTTGGATCTGATTTTGTGCCGTGGTTTGGGAAAATTTCGTGTTCGAATTCTTTTTTTCGATTCTTCGTTCCGAAGCTATGGCTCCGTCTTGTAGAAGGAGGACAAAAAGTACTAAGAAGTCGTCTGCTAGGAGAAGAGCTCTTCTGAAGAAGCGTGCACTGCAGAGCTCGAAGGATGATCAGAAGTCGGTGGTTGCATCGCCTGTGAAGACTCCTGTCAAGCCCCGCGGCAATCCAGCTGAAGCACTGGAAGGTTCCGACGTCATCGACAGTGTGAGTGCTTGTTGTACTCCCAAAGCTGAAAGGTATAAAATACCTAAGATCAAATCATGCCCTCCGGCGCCGAAGAAGATGCGGCCGGACGCAATGTGTGGATTGAAGAGAAGTCCGATAAAGTTCTATGCTCCGTCGGATGTGGAAATGTTCTTCTATTTCGCCCTCCGCGGTATTCCAGTCTGAACTGATGGTGTGTGTGTGTGTGTGTGTGTGTGTGTTTTACAATTGACTGATAGAGCAGTGTTTATGGTAAAGCCTCCATAGTTGACAACATGAATGTGGATCAGTCTTTATGCTTCTTTCAGCTTTGGTTTAGGAAATAATTTGCTGAATATAGCTTGGATTGTGCCTTTTGTTTTCTGTTTATGTTTATTCTCAAATGTAGTTCATGATTTCTGCTAATATATATATATATATATGAAGAGTGCAATTTCTTGAATATTCTTGCTGCTGGTTTTTACCAATCTTTTATGTACAATTGAAGTGTAAAACTTAACATTGTCCCATTTGCGTAGTTGGTAGGTGGGAAAGAAGTGTATGAATTATTGAATTGGGGCTTATTATCTAATGAAGGGGCCCTTCTGCATATACAGTAATCTAGCAAATCTTTGTGGTAATAAAGTTAGTGTCTTCTACAGGCATGATTAGTCTGAAAAAAGTGGCTTCCTGAGAAGGGCCTATCCAATTATGCTTTATTACATGTGTATCTGCTGTCACACACACACACACACAAACACACACAGAGTCATATATACAGACACTGGGAGACAGGTGCCAGAGTGGAGATGACAAAAGGGGTGTTTGCAATTTTTCAGTAGGAAGGAGTGGATAAATAACTAATTGTTTCTTTGTAGACCACTTTGGAACCAAAAAGCCTGTTTTGCTGAGGTAGTGTGGTTTTGGGGCTATATTAAAAGGTGAAATTATTGTGCTAGACATGCTTTTATTTTCTTGGGAGGTTCTTTGATGTAAGCATTGGCCCCATTTCTATTTCTTGTAGGTTGCAGATGATATCAGGAGTTGGGGTCCCGGGAGTTGTGAGAATAATGGTGGTGCCCAAGGGAATCCAATGTGGGGAATCTACAGCAGCAATCAGTTCAACAATGCCTCGTACTTTCTCAGTCCTAAAGGTAATAATGAAAGTAGGCTATATGCCAATTTCTTCATTTATATGCTTTAATTATGAAGTTTTGACTAATGTTTTTTTTGTTTTAGTGAGAAATTACAGTCTTAAGTCAAGGGTTGGTTTTAGACCAAACTCATATTGTTTTTTCAATTTGGTATTAGTAAGAAATCTAAGGTTTTATTTTTTAAAGTTAATAAACCTTCAATCTATTTAGGCCATTTTAATATGATTGAGCTATATGCAATTCCTTAAATTCATAGTACATTAAGGTTGTGTTTGGATAAGTTTTGAAAGCATTTTTGGAGTATTTGATAGTTTTGATGTGGAAATATGAGATTTTGATATAATAATATTTTAAATAAATTGAAAAATGACATATGTTGATGTGAACTTGAAGGCAATGAAATGAATGAATGATTTGTGGATAGTTTTTACACATAATGTCATGTGTGTATTCATTTATGATTGGTTTCTTGGAATGATGGTTTTGCTCTATTTTATTTATTTATTAATAAGTTTCTATCTTGGAATGAGGAAAGATGCTTTCTTTGTTAGTGAAATGCATCAATTTAATTGAATTTCTTATTTATTTAAGATATTTCCAAAGCAGACAGGTAACTGTGTAGATTATTAATCAATTCTGATATTGCTTTGCAACATTAACAATAAATAAATAAATAATAATATTCCTCCCAAGTGTGCATTAATAGTAATCAGGTTTGTTAGTAATTTAATTTAACACACCTTCTTCTGGAATAGAATCCGAGGTAGAAAATCTATGTTCATCCCTATATTGCTTTATTATTTATATTGTATTCTTTTTAATATTAGGGGACGGTTAGGACTAATCAGCACATGGTGAGATGATACAGACAATAGTTTTTTTTTTTTTTTTTTTTTTCCGTCCAAACTCAATGTATTATTTTTACAATTTTTTTATGTTGTTCTCAAAAGTATCTTTTTCTTCAATAAAAGTAATTTATATATAAATATCAAAATATTTTTAATTTTTCCAAAAAATATTAATTTTTTTTATTCTTTTAAGAGCAAAAATATCTTAAATACTTCTAATAGTCAATAAGACTTTATTATATATAAAATAGTACACTAAGTTGGAATGAAAAAAAAAAAAAAAAAAAGTACAATTGATCTTAATATATACTCCCTCTGTCCCAAAACAATAGGAATATTTGAGTTTGACACGAAAATTAAGAAATAATAGTATTATACTGATAGTGAGTGTAAAGTGTTTTTAAAAGACCAGAATGCCTATATTTTATATAATTATTGTGAAAAAAATGTGGAAATTTGTTGCCAAATAGATATAGAAATGAGACTATTGTTTTGAGAATAACAAAAATGACAAAATAAGACTGTTTGTTTTGGAATAAAGAGAGTACTATGTTTTAATACACATCACAATGTGTATATATATGTGTATTTATTTATGTATTATGAATTGACACTATAAAGTTATAATATACATAATATATATTTTTAGTTGTAATTATGTTTTTTTTTTTGCAAATTAACCAAAGCATCCTAACCATTCCCTTACTGCTAAAAAATAAATAAATCAATTAAAAAGCATTCCCTCAATGCTAAAAAATAAATTAATTAATTAAAAACCATTCCCTTAATACTACTTGTGTTAATACTCTAATGGTAAATATTTATATGATAGAACGAATGCAAAAAATGTTTATATTATGAATTTTTCCTTCTCGCTATCTTAACAATATTGAAACACTCTACCTTTAGTAGATTCATCAGCTCAGCTCTTGTTTAATGAATTGTTTAGGTCATTTTTACTATTGATTGATTTTATTATTATTATTTTTTTTAAAAAAAAAAAACTAAGTCATATTATTGTTTTTTATTGTTTTCTATATTATATTAGAATTTAATTTTATATTCAAATTCTCAAACAAACACACCCAATAGTCCAACTGTTTTTCCTATTTTACTACATATTTTTTCTAAGTATTTTATTCAACTATTGTTTAAACAATATATATATGTACAAATACATAATACAAATATAAATCAAAGTAAAATGAAAAGGAAAAACTTACATATCGTGTTCACTAGGTGCTTTAAACTCATTATTTCAAAGAAAAAAATATAATATTAATACTCTATCTCATTGTGAGTAAAGGGTTATATCTATTAAAGAAATTTAATTATAATAGGTAATTGAAAGTAGTATAAAAATATATTTTTTAATATAATGTAAAAATAGTAATATAATGATAAATATGTAAAAAAAAAGTATGAGTATTTATATCGAATAGTAAAATTCATAATTAGCTAAAATTAAAATATAAGTTGTTACAGATCAAACAAACATAACAAAATATATACATTTATATGGGCGGAAAGGAATATATTATATAAAATATATACCCATAACAGAAATATCAAAATATAAATGTTCATAATATTTTAGCAATTTCTTATATCTCACCATAAAAGTATTTAAAATTATAAACACTAGACAACAAATTTAATTTAATACCATTTCTAATGGAAGTTTTATTTTCATATACAAAACCTTTTATTTATTTTTGCACATACTCGTGTTTATTTGTTCGTAGTTTTATTTGTGTAAAATCATACTGACTATTTCATATAAAATTAAATGTATATAATTTTCATTTTAAGATGTAAAATAAAAAAAGTTATTATACTGACTATTTCATATATTTTTTCAACTTCCTAAGTTTTTCAATAAAACTTATCAATTTTTTTGTACATATATATGAAGTTTAAATAATCATTTAATCTAAAAATATACATACCAAAATAAGCAGACCCGACGAGCTTAACACAATGCATTTCTCTTATGGTTAAATTTAGTTTGAAATGAATTTCTTTTTTATTTAAATAGTATATTATTAAAAGAGAAAATATATTATTATTTAAAAAAACATAGATTTCAAATATCAAAAAATTAAATAAAGACTCAAAAGTAAAACACCCCAAAATAGCACTCCACTACACAAACCACAGTCATACTAAATTGAACGTTTGTTTGTTTATAATTTCAAATACAAATCTAGGCTATTCAATCAGCAAAAATATTAATAAAATACATTACTTTTTCTTCAAAATATTATTTAAACAATAATTTAAATTAATATTATATTTTAAATCAATTTAAAACTAGAACCAAACAAAAAGTTGATGATACCAACGAGCACAACCAACAGCTAAAATTGCTTTCCAGAGTTAAAAACACTTTTATAACATTACAAAATTCTACATTAATGACAAACATAAACATGCTTATTTCAAGCGAACACAAAGTTAAAAGACAAAAATTAAAATCAAATAAAATCATAATAACAAAAAATAAAATAAAATAAAATAACACTGTAACATGGGGAGTCCAGTCCTTACTTGAGTGAGATTTCCTATGTGATCGACAGACAATAGATGTCCTTCCCCTCGGCAACTTCAATCAGTCAATATTATCACCATCTCCTACGGATACAATCTCTTCTTCTCTCTCTATCTCTATCTCTTCAGGCGGTGCCATTGTCTCCGCCCCGCCATCCGTAACATTTTCTTTTGTATCAGTCACATTAACTACGGGCTGTTTATCCATGATGCCCGATAGAGCAAGACTAGGCGACCAATCAAGAACGTCGTCAATGATGTTGGACACCCGTTTCTGGTACCTGTAGAATCAAAATTCGCGATTATAAATATGGAAAAAAGTATGTCTTCATCACAATTTTGTTTTTTCACCCGTACAGAAGTATAGAATACCGATTATCAATATCAATGTATAGTATGCAAAGAACAAACCGTGATCATATTTCATATATAGGATCTTGTCATTTGCATTTGCTCTAAAATTCAAACTAATAGTAGTAATAATACTGTAGTCAAGTTGGACATTCAATATTCAATTTTGAAAAATACTATAAGGCTGTGTTTGTTTATGGAATTCTCCCAAAAATCTATTATTCAATCAAATTTTTTTCTCCCAAAAATATCTAATCAAACTCCTATTTTTCATTTTTTATATTATACGAAAAGTCAATTTTACACTCAAAGCATCACATCAACACCTATTTATTTCACACATCATACAACTATTCTAATTTAAAATTTTACTATTCAGATTCCAATTCAAAATTTAAACCCCCAAACAAACACACCCTAAGTAGATTGCATACCTGGCTCTGGCAGCTTCATCGGGAGCATGGTGTCTCAGAAGTAAAATGACCAGGACAGCAACTATAGCATAAAATAGTCTGGCTGTCCACTTGGGGCGCTCGCCTTCGTCTTTCTGGGGCCAAAACTGGAATAATTCCTTGAGTGTTGCTTCTTCAGCCAGTATATTCGGGAAGAACCACACCCGCCTTCCAAGTACGACCCAAAGAGTTCCAAATATAAGAGCTCTCACTGCGATGATTAGAAAGTCATTTGTGATGTATACAAGAAGCATTAGAAGATATTCGTCAAAAAGAAAAAAACAAATGAGATCATCTGTTAGGAACTTACACAGGAGGAGGAAAAGTATAAGCAGTAATAGACCAGCACAGATGTATAGTATAAGCAGCTTGACTGTGTGAGGATACACGGGGAACAAGCAGATCGCTAGAGTCAAAATTGGCCAGCAAAATGATAAAAGTGTTTGCCACAATGGCCTTCGGTTCACAAAAGTCCATGCAAAAAATGCATCGTTATCTGAGAAAACCTGGTCCTGTAGAGAACGTTTATAAGAGATTAAGATATCCATCTCATACGACATATTACAATAATACACTAAATCTAAAACAATATTTAATCAAAAATTCAAATCAAGACCCCATTTCAAACTAATTTCAAACAACAACCAAAAAGAACCCGTAGTTTTATGAAATTTTAATAAGTTTCTGAAAAATGTACTTCCCATGATATTCTGATAAATGAAATGATATACACGGCCCTTAATTTTACCATTCTATAAAATCTCCACATTACAAACAATGAACTAACTAATAAATGAAAGCATCTATTTGAATTTGGGATTTCGAATTGATAGTTGAACTAGTTCATAAACTTATTCGTGCTATGTACAAGGGGAAATAATAAAACAAAAGGATAACTAAATTAGTATGTCATCGTTATCAATGTTATGAGTAAGACAAAAAACTAAACAATTAAAACCAAATGAAGTGACTTAGATAGCATTATATTAAATCCTTAAAGATTCAACGTACTACTGATATAAGAGAAATAGGGGCACATGGATAATGAATATAATTGATGAGAACTTACTGAATAAATCTCCAAATGGGCCGGCCATGTAGACAGCTTCTTCTTTCCAGGCCGAACAGTTTTGACAACACGATCACATCGCACTATAAGATTTTTCCTCAAAAGAATATCGGCAATTTCTTCGCTTTCTAAATGTTTATCCGATTCAAGAAGGTCCTTGACTTCCTGGTGGTTTTTCAAAAAGCTAACAAAATCTTTTCCTCTAAAGTACTCAACTCTTGTCTCCTGCAACACAGCCCACCTCGATTCTAAATCTTTATGATTCCTCACTTTCTCAGCAAATATTTGAAAGGGGTCCTTTCTCGCAGCTTGTTTCTGAGATTGAAAGAAATGATGACAAGCAAATAAATTAGTTCCAGTTCTTGCAAATAGAGAATTAAAATCACAGCAAAGCAACAATATTTAGCCAAAATATATTTGGGTAAGAATTAGGTAATCATTTATATGCTCGAATCTACACAGAACTCAACAATTGTTCATCAGAAAGAATGGGGAAAAATCATCAAAAGAAAGAAGAAAATGACAATCTAAATACAACAAAGATAACGCTGGAAGCTAATTAGGCCTTTTTGAACAATATTATTTATCAAAGCCAATTGTATAGCATTTTCACGGGATCAGAGCTCATTATAAAGTTAATATATGGCACTAAACATATAAAATTTCAACCAAATAATTCATCTAATCAATGCAATGAAATTAAGCACCAAAATATTCTTGTTCATCAAAGTGTATGTGGCCTATGGACAAACAAATAAAAAGAAGTGTGCAACAACAAATATCGGAACAATTTGTCCATGATCCCTTACTACACAATATAAAGTTCCGAACCGAATCATTACAATGAAGAATTAACTCATATTTAGATAAATCCAAACAACATACCACATAATTTCTTAAAAAATAAAACTAATGGTTCTTCAATGCCCTTCTTATAGAGCTGCAAAATAAAATCACAAAATTTTTCAATAATGGCTTCCTAAATAATTAATCAAAATCACAACATTTCAGATTATTTGATAAATTTTCGAACTAGCTACAGATCGCTACAAATTTCCACATAAATATGAACAGCCATTAACTTGAGCCTGCTGATCGAACAGACTAAGTTCGTATTCTTCCTTATTTCAGTGTGGAAGAAAATTTCAACAAAATAAATATATAAAAAATCAGAAACCCTAAAATTCTACGAAAAGTAATAAAACCCCACTGTACAAATGAGCAGTAAATCCCTAATCGGTTCAATCAGCCGCCACAGATCTTTCCAATAAACACAAATTTCCGTAAAAACCGCTCTCAACGTCAAAACCATGGCGGTACAATCACAATCACAGTCATCTGTAAAAAACAAATAAAAAATAAAATTGAAGGGCAACAAACCAACCCTGGGAGGTGCGTCGGCGGAGGATTCTGCGTACGAACGCCGCCCCCTTTTCTTATCGCCGGCAGCCCCACCGCCTCCGCCGCCGCCGCCGGATTTCTTCATCTCAATTTCCTCCTCCCTTCTCCTTCAGTTTCCCTTTCCCTTCTACCTACTACACCTCTCCTTTTATCGCTGCTCACTTTTCCCACTTTCCTTTCCTTGTAATTCCTCAAAATAATATTTAATTATTATTTTCTATTTTCTTAATTTATCAAATGGGCCTCCAGATTTTCGGCCCAGCCCACTTAAGCCCGGCCCAAAGTTTCTCGGTTCCCAATTAACGCCTCAATTTACCTTTCTGAGACCAGAATTTCAAATTTAGACTAGTTTGTACGTTTGGAAATTTCTTTTTCAATTTTTTAATGTTTAATTTACATCATTTTCTATAAAAATTTATTTCAATAAAATATTACATCAAATTATTATTAAAATTAAAAAAAACCACCAATCAAATGCACTAGTTTGAAATTTGTTTTAGAAAATAATAAAATTAAAGATTAATGTAAAAATAAATATTTGATGTGAATATTTTTTTTAAAACAAATTATTGTTGATAGATAATGCTATTTTCTAAGAGGTATATGCAAAATTAATAATAATAATAATAATAATAATAATAATAATAATAATAAACCGACTATTCTTTTGAAGTTTTTTCACTTTTTTTTTTTATTGTCATTTATATTTATTCTTTTTTTAGTAAAAAAAGTATCAATTTTTCTATTTATTTTTATTCTAAAAAATAAAAATTGTTATCTTTACTTATTTTTTAAAATATGTACCAAGTCTAATGAGCACACAATTGAATAATGAATGAAGTATGATTTTTTTGTTTTAGTTCAAAGTGCGTTTGTTCGGTGGTTTAAGTTTTTTAAGTTGGAGTTTTAGATAATAGAATTTTAAATTTAAATAATTATTTGATATAATATAAATAAGTAATAATACAATATTTCAAATTTCAGATAACTTTCTTTTAGTATAATATACATAATATAAAATATAATTTTTATTTGATATATTTTTCGCTAAAAATTGATCAATAATAAAAATTTTAAAAAATATTTCAAACAAACGCACTTTTTTGTTTTATTTTTTTCTCTTGAAAATGATTTTTAGATGTGATATTAAAAAAAAAAAAAAAAAACTTCTAAACTGAACTCCACTTAAGACTTAGGAGGTGTTTAGATAAAATGATATTTCCTCCATCCCACTTACCATGACTATATTGCCGTTTCTATTTGTCTCATGTCCCATATCACTTTCTTTTTTTTTTTAAAATGATTATACATTTTAATTTTATTTTAAATTTTAATTATACTCATTAGTTATCTTAATATTAATTTATAATTATTTATATTATAGGACAATTATTTTCACTAATATATTCTTAATTATTTACTGATTATACTTATCCTAAATTCCTTTGTCTATAGTACCCCAAACATCCAACGCGGGACGAAAAGAATATTTGTTTACTTTGTATTTTAGTTTAAATATTTGGTTCAAATAGTATTTTAATATAATATTTTATAATATAAAATAATTTATTTTTATTGAAAATTATCGATTAATTGAATATGAATGGTTTAGATTTGAACTTACAAACAAAACACACTCTATGATTATAGTATTCATTTATATTTTGAGAAATTACTCGTGTTCAATTTATTGTCTACGAATATTATTACTTCCGTCCATTAAATTGATATTTTTTTTAGTTTACAAAATATATGTCATTTTTATTTACAATGAATAATTTTTACACTTTTATATTGTTGGGAACTTTCATATATTAAAAAAATAATTAATAATATGTATCTCTAATAGCTTAAGTTTGTAAATATCAGTCTTATCGATTCAAACTAGTTTTTACTTTCTTGAAGAAAATAGTGAAAGAGATCCAAATAGAACTAGAATATTCATCTAATTTCTTGCTAGTCTTTTCTATTATTTTTTTAGCTTCTTCCATAATTTTTCTTTTCATGTTCATACATTATTGTTTGTTTAATATTTTATTTTTAGTAAATATGAATTTACTATACATTACAAATACTTTAAAAATACATATATTTATTGATAATGTTAAAATTAGTTATGTTAATTTGTTTTATTAAATTATATAATCAATATAATTATATATAATAATATTTACACCATCAACGTTGTACTGATTTTTTTTTTTTTTTTAAATTAGTATCCAGTATTTTTCCTATATTTACATCGTATTAAAATATGTAAATAAAAATATCTTTAAACACAGAAAGTATAAATTAATTATCATATCAATATAATTATTTTTTAAATTTCACGCTCAAAACTAAATACTACTCCCTAAATTTACTCTATTTGGGACCAGGGCAATAAATATTTTGGTAAGAAAATAACAAAAATATAAAAGTAATTGGAGTATAGAAATATATTTTAATGTTAAAATGATTTAAGTAAAAGAAAAAAATGTGTTATAAAGGGTTTGTTTCTCCGGGGCTGGTTTGGGGAAAACACTATACAAACACTTCCCCCAAACCAGGGTGGTTCTCCCAAATGCAAATGGCAACAAAAGCTGCATTTTTTATTTATTATTATTTTTTTTTTCAAATATTATATTTATTTAATATAAATAATAACTATAGGGTAAAAAAAATATATAAAATATATATCATTTTGTAGAGAATAAAATTTTGTATAATACGAATAAATAAAAACTTAAATATATATATGTGTAGTATAATATAAATTTATAATCAAATCATACTATATAAATTTTATCAATTAAATTTTATACACATTTATATTATTTTATTCATTATACATCGAATCAATACACATCAAAATTCTCCAAACCCCAATCAAATTTAAATACAAAAGAAACAACAAAATTCAAATCCATCCCAAAATTCAAATAAAAATTAAACTCAAACTCAAATTCCTCCTAATCGCTTAAAAAAAACACATACAAATTTCTTATTAAAGGATTGATAAGAAAACTAATAAAATAATAAAAGAAAATAATGACAAAATTAATAATATTATTATTATTGGTTAAAATAAGGGTACTAAAATGGCAAAAATGCACCATAATTTTACGGAATTGCGTCAAAACACTCGTACTTCTAAAACTTTGTCAAACTTCCTCATAATTTTATAAATTCTTCGTCTAACTCTTTCGGCTGCCCTTATTAACGATGTTTGACCTACACGTGCCGAAACTACGAATGAGTTTCAGAATCTTCATTTTTAAATTTATAAAATTACAAATATATTCATTTCTTTTATATTTCGCCTCAATAAAAAAGTAAACAAATTCTTAGAAATAGATGAAAACAACTATTTTTTAATATATTTAGGGTTTCTTGAGGGTAAATATAAGAAAAATTGATATATGAGTTTAAAAATAGAAATTTTCAAATTTATTCGCAGTTTGGCGCATACAAGTAAAATACCGCTAAATAAGAACGGTTAGGGGTTAGACGCAGGTTTATGAAACCATGAAGGAATTTAATGCAATTTTGGAAGTACGAGTTACTTGGCGCAATTTCGTAAAATCCCATGTAAATTTTGTGCAATTTTGACGCAATAAAACTGTGGACAAATAAAATTATTTACTATAAATAAATTATATATAAATTTAACGAACGGCCAAAAAAATTTTATTCATATAATTTTGGCAGGATTATAAAGAAAGAGAATAAAAATTATAGTAATAGTAGTTACAATTACAATAAACAAATATTAAATGAAATGAAATAATAAAATATTTAATATTTTTTCATGTGTTTTAGAGTAATTTTTTTTCAGGACACAATTTTCTATATATATATAAAGTAACATTTGTACTATATTCTTTTATAAAAATTAAATATTTAATATAAATATTAATTTTTTTATATTATTAATACGGTTTTTTATATTTCATACAAAAAATATTTAAAATAAATTAAACAAAGACACTCAAAATTAAATGAAATAAGTTAACTGACAAATAAAAAATAAAAGTTAAAATAAATTTGATGAAAATATATAACTTGCGAGTGGACCTAAAAAATATTATTATTAATTTTTACACTAAATGTCAAAAGTAAAATATTATTCTCTCTTTTATTGTAACAATTGATATATATTTTTTTTATTTTAGTTTATTTCATTCACTTACACATTTTTCTTTAGTAAATTTATCCATTTTAAATATATTTAAAAAATATACATTAATTAAATTAAATTCTAACATTCTATGTGTAGACCAACTCAAAATATTTTATTTTAATCTCTCCTCAATAAACATATATATTTATCTTAATTTAATTTTTTTTAATTTTTTATAAAGTTAATTTATATTAATCATAAATTTGATTATTTGCAAAATGATATTAATATTATATATATTTTATTTAAATATATTATTTAAAATATTTAAATATATATTTCAATTTTTAAAAATCATATACTCCTTCCGTCTTAATACAATAGTGTTGTTTATCATTTTTGTCTGTCCCAAAATAATAGTCTTATTTCCATGAATAATCATATCACCATAAAACTATCCATACTTTTTCATTTTTATTATACAGTTACCACTATTTTTTACACTAATACACTCACAAGGACAAAAAAGTCTTTTATTTATACTTTTAAACTACCAATATAATATCAATATTCCTTAAATCTCGTAAATCCAATTAAGACTATAATTCTGGGACGGAGGGAGTATTAATTATTATTTTAAAAAAATAACTATAACACTAAGAATATAAAAAATAATATTTCTCTCGTCCAAAAGTAAATTTCTTATTTTACTATTTTTGTATGTTTAAATCAAAATTTTTTATTTTTTTTAAAAAAATAATTCTCAACTAAATATTTTAAAATACTTCTCATTTTTACAATTTTCAGATTATTTTTATTTTAATATCAAAAATAAAATAGAAAATAAAATAAATATTATACTACTTTATTATGCTTTCTCCGTCTTATAATAAAATATCTATTTTTCTATTTTAGTCTATCTTATAACAAAGTATCAATAATTGTACTATCTATCTAACATTACAAATACCATTACAACTTACAATATATTACACAAATGTCATTACCTTTTATATCACACAATACTAATAAGGTTATTTTAGTCATTTCAACTTTATTCCTAC